TCTGGGACGATGAAAGCAGTATAGGTAAATGTGCATTTATGTGTATTACGATCGAGTGGAAATGTGTTATGGTTCTTGACTTTTAGTACGAATAATAAAATATATTTTAGTGTTACGGGAAAAAATTCAGGCTTGTTGCATATTTTATTATATATTTAAATGTTTATTACACGTATGTGTAATGTACAAGCCTTCACATATATATTGGAATATTATAGAAAAAAATAAGTAAATATTCAGGCTAACGTATAACATATTTCATTACATATTTAAACGTTTATTACTGGGTACTCGTAACATTTTACAATCTTTTAGATCTCCACAGTACAGATACGTATTACAAAACCACTCCAGTTCTGTTTGCGTCGAACGGGGGCGCGAAAGGAATGCCGTTAGCCGACAAGCTGGACATAGAACAAAAAATATAATTAACAATCCTTTTTCGCGCTGTCCGTAATCTCGCTAGTCTTTCTCAGCGACACGATCGCGTTAAGGACGTTCTTTGTCGCTCTTTCCCTGGACACTCTTTCGCCGTAGGAAATCCTGCTTCCCTTTGAGACAGCTAGAAATTAAGTGATCTGCATCGCGTCTGCAGCTTATCAAACAGATTATTCGTACACTTTGAAAAGGGGTGGAAGGAGTGGGGTGATCAGCGAATACTCGTTATCTTTCTAATCTCGTTATCTTTCTAGCTCCTGCTCCACTCATTAAATTCTACCGAGCCAGTGTCGTTTCGCGAGACGCTCGTCTCCATTCGATTAACGTAATTAACGTGCACGAGCTCGTGAAATCCGGGGATCTTGTTTCGGTATCTGATGCGTCATAACAGCATCATATTAGTCCGAATTTCAGGGACGTTACGTATCTGGGGAAATTTAGGCAAACGTCGAAGTTTATTCGCGAGATTTCCTTCCACTAGGAACATTTCTTATTTTATTAGGACACTAATGAGAATGAAGTTTTTTTATGGATAAATTGAATTATCTATCGACAGTTATCAGCCATAAGAATGGTAAAGCAAAGTAACCTTGTTCGTAGATGCTTAAGTATTACTTTTTATAGTTCAGTCATGCTGGATGTAAGTATGAAAATATTTTTATTGGTTTGATTTGAACACATGAGTTTTCTATACATGTTTCAAAGACTGCTGTGTTTATTGAAAATGGTTATTATTGAAGCGTTCATTATGTAGAAATAATTATAAACAGTATCATTTATATTTTAATAATTTTAAATATATATGTTTTAATAATATACATTAATGTATATTATAAAATTTCGTTTAATTTAGTAATATATATTTATATTTTATACGTAATTATAAATTTATTTGTAACAACTTAATATACGTGTATATGCAAGAAATCAGGTTTATAAAAATATTTTCGTGATGTCCATTCTAGTCCAGAACTGGGCCACTTATGACAATTTAGAAACACGCGAAAACATCGTTTTAGTATCGTCATGTTATTAAGTACGTTCGATAAAAAAATAAATTTCCATCGAAGAAGTACCAGGACTTTCCAAAAGTCTGCAACAACCCCGGAAAGAAATTTGCATAACGCCATGTAAGGGCTGCAACGGTTTACGAGTCGAATGTCAAAGTATATTCTCGGGGTTTCCCCCTCCTCTACTCGTAAAACGTTTCACTTTATCGCGCTACTAACGTTGCCGTTTAGCTATCGTATTTTTTCGACCGCATTAAAAACACGTTCCCGATCGGGGAAACTTCATGAAATTGTAATCGCACCATTAGCCGGTGTTCGATAACGCCGACGACTTATTCCCAACTTCAGTTCATTGTTTCTCAACGTGAGCAATACTACTCCCTGATAAGCGAGTGACACCTTAAAGTAATCGGTTTGACTATCTATTTTTGAGGGTGACGACGCGTCACTTTATATGAGTGAATCCTGAATAATAATTTGATACATTTCACTCGCTGTGGATAAAAATTCGAGCATTAATTATGGCACTTCTAACTTCATATTTAATTGAAACGAGTTTCAGTGCTGTTCTGAACAAAAGCCACATTTTCGGGAGGATTATTACACAATTTTAATCTCTTAAAAATTAGAGGGGGCAAATTAAAAAGCGAATCTGACGAAGTGGACGTTTAGATCAAAAAGATCTCTTTGGGCGAGTGCTTGCAAAAATCCTAAACGATCTCGTTCGTGTAGGTTCGTGCGCGGACGCGTTACGCGGTCAGAGCTAGTCTCGTCATTCTCTATAATATATTGCACGCTGCGGAAACGCGTCGGGTTTAAATTAATCTCCTATTGTACACGCGTGCTACGAAGCTACACGGAGACAAGACAACGACATCATTAGATCAGTCGACGGGCTGCGTGGGCTGTTTCCGTCCTCGCATTGTAACCTAAGGGACCACAATTAATTGATCACGCAGAATTGACAGCAACTTTTCTTCGAAATTCTTTAGGGACCATGTGGCCCTTGACTAAGTATAGTTGTACTTTGTGAATTTTAGGTTGGAACTTTTGATTCGTGGAAACATTATTAAAAGTCTACTATGAAGATATAAATATACAAAATATTGTAATATAGGATATAAAATATAATATAAAATGTATTATACAGGGTGTCCCAAAACTCTCCTAAGAGGCGTAGAGGTGTGAATTTTAAAAAATTACAGCTTATAGGGGATGATAAGACGGAACTTTTCTATATCATACGACGTTTATTCATACGACGTTTAGTTTCAGAGATAAAAATTGAAAACTTAGACCTTTTTCCTGAAATTCATCTTTTGCAACGAACTTGTAACATTTCAATTTTTATTTTCGAAACTAAGCGTCCTACGAATAAACTATAAATCTAAAAAAAGTTTCGTCTCATCATCCCCTATAAGCTGATATTTTTTGAAATTGATTTAACGAATACAAAGATTTCTCTGAGCTCATTTCTCGGAGGCGTATATACACGCCCTTTGCAGTCAAAGGGCTAAAAATTATTTCAAGATGTTCCTTGCTACTTCGGTGAAACATGATGAGATTTAAAGACTCGATACTTCCAAGAATAATCTGTCCTCAAATACCTCTAATTTAAATCTTTTCCTTCCATTGTAGGAAGCTTACAATCATTTATGATTATTGTCTCATTAGTGTTGCATTGACTTCTGTCTCTAGCATACAGGACCTTGGCATATATTTGCTTTAAATCTCACTTTTCCTAATTACATTGCGAAGGTTGCTTCCACTGCATGCAAAACCTTGGGCTTTATTCCAGATATTTTATAACCATCACGTTTTTGATATTATTGCCACGTTGTTTCATAGTAGTATTCAGTATAACAGATTATCACATGAATTTCCATCTAATTTAACAAGAATGATATTTTTTCGTAGGAAGCTTCGTTTTCGTAAAAATAAATCGAATGGTTTGGCTAACCATGTCTGACCACGACTGGCCAGTTCTACTAATTCTGGCATTGTCTAATGTACCAGAAGTCTTCTATGCAAACTGCAATTTTTTAAATGATTACAACTAATCGAAACGGACACTAACATAAAAGAAGCAACATAAATTAGCAACATGAGTAGAAATGGCGAGTAATGGTCAGACACGCTGGTCAAGTCGTACACGTGCTCCAAGGAGATTCAAGATAAATTTTCTCAAAATTGAAAGCTCAAATTAAAAGACTCTGTTGCTCATTTTCGATTTATTTTTTCCTCGCAAAATCATCTATATATATATAAGAATGAAGTCCTGACTGATTACAATCAACGTCCAGGCTAACCCCTTGAACCTAGAAAGTTAAAATTTTGCACAGAGGTTTCCTTTATGATGTATACAAAGAATAAGAAAGGATATTTCGAATATTCAACCCATAAGAGGTTAAAAGGGGTTGCAACGTCGGTATTCCACGCGGATGAAATCGCGGGATGCAGCTAGTAAATAAATAAGAAACGTCATCCCAGACGTCTCTGGCACCGTGGAAACGAAACGATTCTCGCCGATATCAATCCAACCCTCCGTGGATCCTGAATTTCGCGCCTTAAATCAATCCCGATGCTAACTGCGGCGGAGTCTATCCTCGAAGCCTCTTCGCAGACGTGTCTGAACGCAATTACGGTTTTCTCGGGTCGAGCAACACTTTCGAGAACGTACGGTTCGATAGAACTGACGCGGACCTGAAGAGAAAACCAAATTGCCAACAAGTTTCGCCGCATATCCGACTTCGATGCCTCGTAATGTTTCGCGATACGTCACTCTCGACCCCCGATATTTTACTCGCGATATCTTTTTTCATAAAACTTGCGCGCCCTCGGAGAGACAGAGGCGGGCTGTCGAAAACAAATAAAAGTTTGCCGTACCTGTTCCGACAACCTATCGAGTATCTCTTCGAGTCTCGCGACGAGAAATGAGAAAAAATGAAGAAGAATCGAAATCGGAGAAACTCGACAACGGTGACGTGGATCGGGAAGATCGAGCACTAAAGCCCCGAGGATGATGGAGACGTTCGCGAATTCTATTTGCCGCTGGAGCTTTAGATGTCAATTTTGGGCTACTATTTTTACAGGTGCCAGGACGATACAATTAGAAGAATTCAGGGTAAATTAGATTCTCTTATTTGAAATTCTCTTAGTTAAAATTATTTCCAGAGGTTCCGCCAAGAACATTTACAAGTGGAATTGTTCGCTAAATCTGCTATTCGATCATGTTTATTACACGTGGGAATTATTACGTTTAAAAATAGAGTCAATGTAATTTAATTATAAAATGCTGTTGTCCAGAGAACGAGGAGAATTATAACGTAATATTATAAATAGTATCGCGTGAAGATATGCAAAATTTGCACTGACAAGGTAAAACAGGGTATAAAATCGTTTCTGTTGTTGTAATAACCACTAATTTATACTTTTCACTCTAATTTAACTTCTTTCTTAATATAATTCTTGTTAACCTTTTATCGACCTTGGTTCGATTGAATAATTAAAAAGGAGTACAATAGAAGAAAAAGTGGAATAAAGAATGCTCACCGACAACTGTGACGAGTATCAGAAGACCGAGGACCAAAGCTCTGAGGATGATCGAGGCGTCGGTGAAGACCAGACCATCCGCGGACGAGTTTCCAGCCTGGTTGACGTGTTCCTCCATGACGTCCGAGATATACACGTGTTCTCTCTGTCCTGGCTGGGTCTTCAATGTCCGCTGGTTATCATCTCGTTAAATAATGTACCATGGTCCGCCGTCAGGAGCAGAACCGCGGATATGAATCTTCTATTCCCGGCGACCTTGGCCGGCCCTGCTCCCCGAGACGGAGTTAATGTCTGCCCGTTGAAACTTTAATACGCACGTCATTGGACGACTTTCTTACTTTTCCCTCGGGAACCACCGCCGGCATCTATTTCGCGGAGATAACACGACCCACGCTCGCAGGGAACGTACAACCCCTTTGAACTCGAGCGTCCCGGCGTCGACTGTGCCTGCAACAACAATAGAGATAATCAGGTTCTGCTTCAACTTTCTCATTCAAATTCTAAGCAATTTTTTGTTTGTCTCGTATGAATGGTTCGAATCTCAGGTTTCATTTGGTACAGTCGGACTGATCGTTAATATAGACAGCGAATAAATCGGGAGTAGATTGTGGAGGTTTATGCAAATTCGTATCTTTGTGGATGTAAAGTATGTTTTGAGTTGTAAATATTGGAACTTGTATTTTATATTTTATGTTTGATATATTTATGTATTCGTTCGGATCCTCGTATATTTTCGTATATTTATATTCCTCAGAGATACATAAATATCTGTTGCGTTATTATGACCAACGATGTTCAGCAGCCAACAGCTGTGATAAGTATAACTGAATTTGATTCAGTGTTGATCAATGTACTTTAGACCCTCGTCGTTATTGAAAGTAATTATTATACGATATTTGGTCTATCAAAACGCATAGTAGTATAAAATATGAAAATCTGGTGTCTTATCTATTTACAATCTTTATGAATTTTTATATTATCCTACGTTCCTATGAATCGAATATTGTCAAGATCTCTGTAAACTTGCACATCATTCAGCTCTCGTATCGTAAATCCAGCAAACAAATTCTCTCCCTGGATATTCAAAAACAGTAACAAATTTTCGTAACCTGGAGAGTCTGTAATCTCCATGGCTCTGTAAAGGCAAAGGAAATACGAAAGCTCGTTTGCGCAAAGAAATTTGCCTTTTCCTTAGGCCCATTAAAGGTTAAGAGGACATAGAGGAGGACTCGTAAAGATGCGCCAGATAAAGCAGGGCACTTTGGCACGTTATTAAGTAAATTTTACGGCTGTTCGTTCGACAATGAACTGCGCAGCCTCTCTCGGAGACGCGTCGCAGGATACTTGGGTTTATAGCGCGCTCTCGATTTTTCCCTGACGATTCCTTTTTTGTAACCTGTTCTCGTTTCGCTGTCAAACTGCGAGAGTTTTTATATTAACGAATGCTATCATCGTTTCGTTAATGGCAAACGCTTCGCGTCGTCACGGAAGCTATTCGAATTAAATATCTCTAGAGAAACACGAGCCGAGAGAACTCCACTCGAGAACCAATTGTAAGTTCAATTTCAAATTATTGAAATTATTAGTTAGTTAGTTGAAATTAGTGCACAAAGTGGATCGTGTAATTGGCCCAGGTCATAGACTAAGGAAAATAAAAAAGAATGGTAGGTAAAGCTAATATGGTACGAAAACATATTTCTGTAAGTCCGTCGATGCCCTTGCAATGTTCGAAAATCGAATACGTTTGGAGATGTTTCATTTATTTCTAGTTGTAACAAATTAACCAAAAATTTGGGAGGATACTGGTTCACCGATATAACGAGTACACGTGCTGGTACACAGAAAATCTTGATCTTAAGAGGAGTACGAGCAATCAAGCGAGATATAGTATCAACGTGTAGGGGTGAAATACTCAATACGTGTCTTATCAGCCCATGTTCTTTAACCTTCTTCGAATCTACCTCGCCCTACTTGGATAATATGAATCTACTCTCCCTTGATGGGCTTTCACAAAAATTAAGTATATTTCCACCTTGCATTCATGAATGCTGAATAATCAAAATGATGAATATTTAAGTGATAGTAATACATGATGGAAATTATCACTAGGTCATTATAAACCTGTGCTTCGATCACCGCCAATAATCACGACTTTTATTATAAAATAAAACTTCGTACAGTGTGAAGTTTTCTACGATCACGGAAAATGCTTAACCCTTTGTTCACCTTACATTTCGTTGAGTTTCGAACTAATCGTAGCGACATTGGTTTATAAATAGGTTCCTAAACTGGTACACTTCGAAGTAGCAGTAAGATATTTTATGATCACGAGTTTCGAATCGTAGTAGAAAAAGGTTCAGTCGTCGAAATTGTTAGCCCTTTGTAATGAACTTGTCGTCTGTCAATTTTGCAAGTAACGTGCGCAATCGTTCTATTTTTATTAAGAGAAAAGTCAGCCTAGTCCAATTACTAAAATTCGTCCACGTAGACGGTGGTACGAGAGAATAATTTCAGTCGGTAGCTCGTTCCGAAGAAATTGATCAAAAGACGCAACTCATCCGTCAATTCGAGCGTCAATTACGCGGGAAAGAACGATCCCGGAAGCTCTTCCTAACGTCTCGCTTCATCCACGATCCATTACCGTGTTTCTGCTTTAACTGCGAAAAGCGTTTCAACGTTTCTGACAGTCTCCGAGTCATTTATAGGGGATTTTTCGGAAGAAGGATCCCTTCTGTCTCCCTGACGTTCGGGATCCTCCGTCTCGACGGAAATAATTCTTCTTTCCGGGCTACTCAGGCGACGGTGTCGCGAGCACACCTTGCACGCTCTATTTTGCATCCCAGGTGTTTCTCGTTGCAAAGTTTCAGCGAATAATTGAGAATAATTCATGTGAATTATTCTCTTTGTGAATATTAAACATGGTTGGAGGAGAACTTTTATTTAGTTAACTTATTTATTTAGCTTTTATATGTTAACTTATTTTTTGATGATTCGATTCTGATTATTTATTTATGCCATATTTATTACAGAACACAATTTAATGCTTATTAACTGTCGTCACTCTAAAGTTTGGCTATACTACCTACTGCCAATTCAATTGATAATAATATACATGGCAAAATGGGGGCTCAATTAAGGTTGCATCACTTCTTCTAGTTCAGGAAAAGTTCTTTATGGAAACAGATGGTGGCCAGTAAAAAGGCGTTTGGTCCTAGGTTGCTGGTGGACTCATCAGTAAACCAGATCTTACTACCTAAACAAGTCCACCGGGAACCTAGGACGAAACACCTTTATACTGGGAACCACCTGTTTCCATGAAAAAAAACTTCTGAACTCTTCTTACAAAGTGGATATACTTGGTGGTGGTCTGAGCATTCATTTACATTCATTAGAACGTCAATTATAACAATGTTTGTGAGTTACTAATAAATCCTATTAAAATTTCACCAATTTTCTCGAGAACACTGCTCGATTACACCTTGTTATTCAAACACACTCATTACGTTTACTCGTGCATCTCGTATATGTAATTACTTTATGTCACTGGGTCGTAGCTAACGAGGGAGATCGATTTCCTAATTAAACGAAAGCGTACCAGTTACTTAAACATATTTACAATCTACATACAAGTATTCGCGAAAAAATGAATTTTTTTCAAAAATATCGTGTCGAGACTCTTACAAACTGCTTGTAACTATGTCCACAAACTTAAATCCCGCACTTATAAACGTAATCGGTCCCGCGCCATATCTAACCTGCTTCGAGTGTCCTTCGAAGGCAGAGCCGCTTCTAATCCGCGGATCCCGTAAGCCCCCTCGAAAGCGGAAAGTCCTCCGAAGAGGAGGGAAGTTAGTTACACGGGGCTAATGGAAGCCGGCGGCGGCACAGCTAAACAATATGGGTAGCGACACGCTAACAAAGTTGGCCGGGGCCAAGAAACGTAATTAAGGCTGCAGAAGTTAAGTTAATTTGGAAATACCGAGTTACGCTTGCCACGTGGCGCGAGAGGGAGTGGTTCCTGTAATCAATTCGATATCACTGTGGGTGATACTGCCCGGCCAGAGTGTTTCGTGGATCGAGGGGAGCGCGGGAAAACTTGTTGACAAACTTTAGCGCCACATGGTTCGATTATCATAACTCGAAGACTTTTTCTCCACCAACCAATACCATTTGTCTTTCGCTCGATGTCGTTCGTTTATTTGTCGCCCTTTCCCCCTGCGTGAATGTCGGCTTGAAGGATTATTCATTTATTTGTTCTCGTGATTTATTGGGAGTAGGGGTTGTTCAAGAATGGATACAAGAAAGGAATAAAATATTCTTGAAGACTGCTAAGTGCGAAATAAATTTTGAAACTTTATTATTACTGTAAATACCGTATAATCTTACTTTATTACCTTATGTACGAATTATTTATTTATGCCATGCGAATATGTGGGAAAATGTATTACGGGGGCCAGAAAGTAATGTCGTTTCTTATTAGTCATCCTTCGACAATGAACAAATGGTTGTTAAACAATCAGACCACGTAGGTTCACTCGTATTTTGCAGTTCTACCACGTCGACCGTAAACTCGCAAGAACGAACCATATTAATTTGCGTCAGGGTGTTAGAATCCTTGTCGTCGCGGTTTTTTTTCCACTTAGCGTCCACCTCTCGGGCAAAATAATCTGCTTGGCGCGTGTTTGGCCAGTATATCACGACGAGCGGATTTCTTCCTCGCTTGTAGTGCTCCTAATTAAGCAAAACGTCGGATTCACGGTCGCGCGATAATACAGATTAATGAGAAAACACTCGACGTGTATCGGACCAATGAAAGTAACCGCGTTAACTTCCGTGAAGCTGCGAACGCTCGTTATCTAAGGAATCGGTCATAAACGACGATGAGGTCGAAACTTCATTTTCCACGTCTTTGAGCGCGGAATAACAGATTCCCTGGCACGGGAACTTTTAATTAAACGGTCGGGAAAACCGTGGAATCGACGGCTGCGCGTTACGTCTTAATCCGAGCAGCGATTCGGCGATTAATTCAACGATTTGTTCGATTAAATAAAGATACAGGAGATGAAAAATGGAAAATGTAAATGCCTTTGAGACTTGTTCAGTAAAGATAGAAACAAGAATGTGAGAATATAATACTACATATAAACAGTGTAAAAATATTAACATCATTGAAATGAAAAGAATGTCAACGCCTTTGTGTCTTGTTAATTAAAGATGAAAATAAACCACGAGAAATGCCAGTGTAAATTAAAAGTACAAACGTAAGACCATCAGCTGCGAGTAGTTCAAGACTTTTGCGGTGAACTGTATTCAGATGTAGATTCATCGCAGGTGCATTGATCATAAAATGCGATAACTAATAAAACCGTGTGCCAGTCGTAACTGGAAATACATCACGAAACGATCTCTGCGCTGTCGAGAGACCTCTTATTGGATTCCAGTTCCCG